TTCCCCCCCCAGTGGGGTTGTGGGTTTTTCCCCCCCCCCCCCCCCCCGCAATTAAGGAACATTTTCCACAACTCCCGTCCAGCTTGCTCCTTTCCTGCTCGTCGTCAAATGTCTAGCCCGGAGTGCCATTCCGCTCTGTAAACAACTGAAGGAAAAATAGGAGGAAAAAAAAAATGGCATCCCAAAACTTCCTAGGAGCCTCCATCACGGGCGGCACCCGAGAAAAAACGTACTTTGAGCAGCAGCGCGAAGCACTGATTGGGGAAATCGCAAACAGCTTTGAGCACGTGTTGGCGAACATCAACAAGCTGAACCGCTCGTTGGAGGCTGTTATTACTGTATGCGTTTGTTTGTTTTCTTTCTTTCCACTCGCTGCTCGTCTCAATTTTTTATGCAAGTCCAGTCCGATGACTTACTAACGTGACGTTGCGACGATAACAGGTTGGCAACGAATTCTCCTCTGTCGAAGCCCTCTGGTCGCAGTTTGAGAATGTCATGGCGAAAGATCCCTCCGAGGCACAGGGACAGCAACAGCAGCAGCAGCAACAAGGACAACAACAACAAGCCGAGCAAGGAACAACAACAGCACGACAAGAACACGGACAGACACGGGGCGAAGAGGGACGACAAGAAGAGGATGATACCAAGATGGAGGTGGATGAGGAGGATAGCAAGATTAAGATGGAGAGGTAAATCGGGCACACGGAAGGAGATCCAAGGACAACATGTCACGTCCGAAGAATGGACGCCGTAGAACAGAAGCGCGGGCAACGGACAACTGCACATGGGGATTGTACGATTAAATCACACGGAAGGATGGATAAGATACCCAGGCAATTAGGACAATGCGAAAGCATTCAAATCAATTCAAGTAAGAACTATAACAGTTCGGTTCACACACACTTAGGTACGACAGCCGTCACACGTTTGTGATATCGGACCAAGAAGATGCAGCAAAGTGATTTGTGATTTTTAACATCTATCTGATGTATTTAGATGTCTCCTCGTCTATAAAGCGAAAACTCAGTAGGAAAGAATTTGAGTAGAAGCAGATCGCGGAGGAAAGTTTTGCTCTTCCACCTCTTTTTAAGACGTCGTACCCATGGGGAAGCTGGGATGACGAGATGCTAAGATGGATTCGAAAACCCGTCTCGGCTAAGAATGGTGTTTGTTTCTTCCTGTCTGCAAGTTACAAGTTTCAGGCGTTGTCGGAAGAGTATCATGGGGGTCTTGTTGGCAAAGCCTATGGCGTTGTAGTTCGTCCTTCAGGGTATTGTCCTCCAAGCCGACCCTGTACGGCATCCCTCCTCTTGAACTGAGCTTTTTTTTTCCATCATCGGAGTTTCCAGGCACGAACTGTTTGGTCCTGACATTGAACTTTCACGGCGCCAATGCCTTGTCCCAAGTCGTTGTCTCATGGCTCATGACAATCATCATATCCGAATCAAATCCTCAGACTTGTTCTGCAGGTAGAAACCACGACGTTAAGCATGATGCCTTTCATCGAAAACACGCCAAAGAGAAGGGGGGTATGCATGTGCGTGTGAAACGCTCAGTGTGGCTTACTGTCCATTCCGAGGTAATCTGCGGCAACGACGAGCTCAAGGCAGTTCTCGACGGGGATCTCCATATCAGGAACGTCCTCGCGGTCACGGTATTTGTACCAGTAATGGAAGTACTCAACGACCTTTTCAAGGATAACGCCACTAGAGAAGAAATGGTTAGCAACTGGGACTTGGCAAGTCGAGATAGGTCAAACGAGCAAGCGGATTTGGGTTCGTGAAAAGCTATCAGATCAAGTGTAGTTGATAATCAAGCAGGCCATGCCACCCTTCTTGAAAAAGAGAAGGCTGGTCTGTCATAAAGAACGCAGCAAAATATTTTTCATCACGCAGCTTGTTGTCTCGGAGAGCCACAAATGGATGGGGATGGGGACGGAGGAGGTAACCTACTTGATGTCCTGCAGCTCGCAACGACCGGTCCTGGCCTCGGTCATGTTGTTACGCAGCATACCTCTAATGTAGTCACTGCAGAGGGTCGCCTCGCGGAGCACAACAAACTCGAATCCATCCTTGGAGACGAGGGTGATGTACTTGCTGGCGCCGCCGTTACCGTTGGTGGCGTCCATTTTGTGTGGGTTGCGCGCACTTGAGCAGCTTCGTTGTTGGGACGAGTAGAAGATGAAAATCCTGATAGGATGGGGACTGTGCGTAATTAGTAGCAGTCAAATACCGTAGTACTCCTCCCTCGTTGATTGTTGTTGTTCTGACGAGGAGTGTGTAATAGTAAGAAAGAGTTTGCGGTTGTTGCGCCTCAACGCGTGCCAGACGCGGTTTGGGGAACAACGGGCAGAAAATTCAGAAGACAAAGTGAGGGGCGGGGAGTGGAAAGTGGAAGGGGGATGGAAACCGAAGAACATTAGAAAAGCGGCTGACGACAGCCCGTGCACCACTTCTGTTTGCAGTGGGTCCGCACGCCCCGGAGCTGATGAAAAGCCGGCCGGCCGGCGTGCAGATGGTGGAAACGCTTAGTTATTCTACAAGTGACGCACAAGCCACATGATTTTTGCCCAAGCTCATCCTTGAAGCTTGGAGCTTCTTTTCTTGGCGAAGCCTGGTCCCGTTCCCGCTCGTGCCTGTTCGTCCAGTGTCTGGACGGCAAAGTGGGTCTTTTTCCCCTTACCAACCTCCCAGCCTCCTCGAGTTCCCAGCTGAACATGGCCGAATCTGTACATGTGGCTATGGATGATAGGCCTCCGCATGTGGTCTCGGGAACGAGAAAAGACGCACACAAAGGGCTGTCTTGAAAACCAATCTCGTTTTCGTTATTCTTGTGCGGGAAAGCGGTGCGATAGAAGTTGAGACGATGCCCATATGTATCATGTTCCGTATGATGTGCTGCTGCTGCTGTTGCGACTTGCGGATTCGGTACCTGCATCAAAACAGGCTTTCTCGGATGCACTTGAGAGACGCTCCGACGATCGACCAACGCGACGGATCTCTTTAGTGTAGGGTGGACCAGACTTGTCTTTTCCGGACCAATTTTAGCACTGTTTTCTTCCAAGGCCGAATTGCTGTTTTGAACAAGGCTGTGGTCGTCGTCTGCGAGGTCGTCTGGTGCGACTCAGACTGCGAGTCTGCCCGAGTGTTCCATGTGTTGAGAGCAGCCAAAGTTGTGTCATTGCCAAGCTGTTGAAACTAAAAGTGAACCAAGGACGGGAGCCAAGGCAAAAGGGGAAACAGAAACCGTTGCCCCGCCGACAGTTTACACTACACTACACTACACTACACTACAAACCCTCCTGAGTGCTGGGTGCCCTGCCCTGCCTGTCCAGTGCTTGATTGCCTTGCTTGACCACCTGCCTGACAAGGGCCTCCATAGTATATCCACACCCACCACCACAAGCAAGTGGTTCAGTCCACTCGCTCTTAACCTTGTTTCTCACCATTCCCATTCGACGGCTCTTCTCCAACAAGAAGGAACCCCTCGATCAACATTGATTGACCGCCGCGACACGACAGGCAGGCACAGGCACGGAGGCCTAAAACAACATCTCTCCCAATCTCCTGCTACCATACTGTGTACCGACTAACCAAGTGCTTGACCGCCTTGGCCGCCGCAATCCGCATTCCTCGCAACACAACACAAGCCCCCCCGTCACAACCTCAATTCGCGCTTTCCCAGCACCCTTTGCGACTCCCCAAAACATTCGATTGTGTTGTTGCATCGTCAGTCACCAGTTTTGGCAGAGCCGGAATCGCAAAAAGTCAGACACGACAACTGGAAAACAACATCCAATCTCCGCCACTCGCTCCTGAGTTGCCTTCGTTGCGCACTTTCACCCAGACAATTTCCGCACTACCGCTTTCTCCCAACTCGGTGTGAGTAAGCTCGTCTGCCTTCAGTGCTGCTTTGTTTTGAATTCCTTCTTCACATTTGCACCACAATCTTTGTTTGCCTGCCTACCCAAGGTCCCCCCACCGAAGAATCACCAAAAGAAAAGAAAAAAAAAAAGAGAGAGAGAGCAAGCAACAACCAAAAAGCTCCCAACCCGTTTCCGTTCGTTGACGACTTGTCGTTGTTGTTGTGGTTGGCTTGAGGAGAGGCTGTTTGGGAGAAGCGTACGAAACGCCGTACCGTTGCCGGACGCTAGACCACGCCAACTTTAACGCCGTCAGAAACGAAAGAGTTACGGGAGGGGGCGGTGACCGAACACCCAAAAAAAACAAACACCCCTAACTCTCTACATCCCTCACCTCACCTACCCGCAAAATACACACGTCAGCCTTGTTAGCATGTCGTCGTCAAGCAAGTTCCGCAGCTCACACCACTATCATTCGCAGTCGGTGTCGTCCATCCTAGGCAGGCACGATAGCACCAGCCCCGGCGCAGAACTCCAACGACGACCGACCACCACCTCGTCCTACACATCCTCTGGTAGCGCCAGCCGACGAGTACCACGCGACAACGGGACGAGATCGAGCGATGGGACAGTGAGTACCATGATGAGCACCACATCGTCGACCGGAAGAGAATCAGCAGCAACAACGGCCATGACCGAGGGCCCAGCCTACTCCAAGAAGGTGGTGGTCGTGGGCGATGGCGGTTGCGGAAAGACATGTCTCCTGATTAGTTATAGTCAGGGATACTTCCCAGAGGTATGACGTCCCACCCCTATAAAAATATAGCTTGGGTTGGCGCTGACCGTGATTGATATCGCAAACAGAAATATGTCCCAACCGTCTTCGAGAACTACATCACCTACCCAACGCACCCACCGACCGGTAAGACCGTCGAGCTCGCCCTATGGGATACCGCCGGCCAAGAGGAATACGACCGCTTGCGACCGCTTTCATACCCAGAAACCGACCTTATTTTTGTCTGCTTCGCCATTGACTGCCCCAACTCCCTCGAGAATGTCATGGACAAGGTGAGTCTTCGTACCGTCTTTTACCCTTCCTTTCACCTACGCTCATACTAACACACCTCCCAGTGGTACCCCGAAGTCCTCCACTTCTGTCCGTATACACCCCTTATCCTCGTCGGCCTCAAGTCCGACCTCCGCAACAAGAAGACGTGCATCGACATGCTCAAGACACAAGGTCTCACCCCCGTCACCACCGAACAAGGACTCGCCGTCGCCAAGAAGATGGGCGCTCAGTACATGGAGTGCTCATCAAAGGAGATGAAGGGTGTAGAGGAGATTTTCGAGCAGGCCATCCTCACAGTAGTCGCCAACGACAGGAAAACACTGGAACAGGAAGCCGCGAACGGCATGCTGGGTGTTGGCGCGGGCTCGGGAAGCGGAAAGGGCAGCGGAATCTCGTTCAGCAGTGGTGACAAGGCCGGTTCCGGGATAGGGCCCGTCAAGGCGGCCGGTGTGGGTGGCACGATTGTCCCGAAAACGAGGAAGAAGAAGAGAAAGTGTGGTATGATGTGAGGAAACCAAGGGAAGGAAAACAAGGGATGAACAGCAGCTATACAGGATTCGACATCCACACCCACTCTACCAAGACCGAGCCGAGCCGAGCTTGACAGCCCGCATAGCGCATACCGATACCATTACCGATACCGCTATTGCAACGGATGGAGGACACAGCTCTGGATGGATGAAACGGTTTGGATGGTCTGATGGTTGGATTGAAACCGACAGAGGAGGATGTGATCGAACAATGTCGAATTGGCGATTGATGCTTGCATAGCGAAAAGCGGCTGGGTCCATGGCTATAACATGGCGAATTTGGTGTTGTTCGTTTGCTGTAAGGGAGTATAAGGAGGGGAAAGGAGGCAAGAAATACGGCGACAAGGGAAAGGAAGGAAGACGAAAGGGGAAAGGGGAGGGAAGGTAATGACACCTGACTGGACTGGCATGCATGCATGATTTGCAACGAACTACAACCACACACTTACACACTACACTACACTTACTACGGCTGCACTACCTTATTACTCGTTTTATTTTCTGTCTTACTTTCTGTCCGTTTTCTCATACACATTTTCTTTATCATTGCAGTTAGCTTCTCTTGTTCCTGTTTTGGTTTTGCTTCTACCTCATCTTCTTTTTACTCATTTAGAGGAATGAGGGAAGGAGCCTTTTCTGTTCTCGTCGTATTCCCTGCCTAGGTTTCACATGGGGGAACATTTCTCATGCGGCGATGGCGGCATAGCATAAGCGGCGTGCGTGACTCGAAAAGAAAGAATTCGGTTACTGGCTTGCTACTTCATTTTTGAGTTCCCGTTGGTTTGTACGTATACCTTTCTGTGTCCGTGTTAGGTTTGATACCTGCGTAGGATAGTGAAGTGGAGAGACAATCAGAGGAGAGAGCCAAAGCAACGAACGACAATAGCAACAGGTTTGTTATTGGCATCGACGGTGCATGAGAACGTATCCCTATGTTAGTCAGTTGTAGTAATGAGTCTTTGATGAGATGAACCTGGACAGGTGAGATGACTCCCCTGGATAACTTTATGAGATGCTACTCCTACTCTACTCATAGGTACGCCATATTCATCACGCAATATTGCTGCTCTCCACCCTGCGCACCACTTAATTCGTGACGTATTCAATAAGCAAACAGACTGGAAAATGAAAGAGGGGATTAACTATTAATTTTACATCCAGTATACATCACCCATCACGCAGTCCATCTACCCACCGAATAAACCACGTACAAAAACAACACCTGTTTCCTGTTACCTTTCAACAACAACTCTCAGCAACGAGGTTGTTATCAAAGTAGCTGCCGATAAAACGCCAACACCTTCCTCGCCCCAACCTCCCAACCCACATCATTCTGGCAATGATGTCCCGCCCCAGGAACGAGTGCGAACCTGACCCCTCTCCCTGCTGTGTCTTTGGGTCCCCCTGAACCCTCCCCCTCAACCTCAACCTCAACCTCAACCTCAACCTCCTCATCCACCGTCTCATTCTCACCCACCACCCCATCAATCTTCTTCTCCTCCACCACCAACCTCTCATAAGCAGCGCGATACCAGTCTGCAAGCCGTTGCATAATAGGCTGCGTCATGATTTTGTCTCTTTCGCCCGCAATCACCAGGACCCTCTCTTCTTTCCCCTGCTCCTGTTCTTGTTTGGTTGTCTCCCCCCAGCCAGATATCCGCAGCAGTACTTTTTCGGAATCGGCAAAAGACCGGGCCATGCCCAATGGCCAGAGAAGGGACTCGTAGCGGCTCATGAAGGACATGAATCTCGAGAGATAAGAGTCGGGGAGGAGGTCGTTGCTGAAAAAGATAAGGCGGACGAGGGAGGGGTGGGAGAGCGGGGAGTTGGGGTGGCCTAAGTGGAGGAGGAGGCGGAGGGCGAAGAGGGGGTCGAGACGGAACCAGGTTAGGTAGATGGGGATGCTGGGTTTGTAGTTTGTAGTTTGGGAAAAAAA